CGGATTGGGAAGCCGAGCGCCCCCAAGGCTCCAACCCTAGGCAAGGGAGCCCGCCGCCCTCTCGCCGCCCGCGACGATGCCGAGCTTCCCTCCGCCGGGCGGCGTCACCGTCTGCGAGATCAACCGCGACCTCGGTATGTACCCCCACAACCAACTTCCCCTTGCTCCTGCCGCTTTCTTGCAACCCCTCCCCACCAAGAACCACACACCACTAATCGATTGCGCATTTGGCATTGGCTCGCAGTCGTGGCGGACTCCCTGTCGGAGGATCGCGCCAAGGAGGCCTACGGCGATGTCCTCGTCAGTTCATCTTCACCTCTTAACTATCAGCTTTCATCTTTCCGCAGAGGATTTAGAGTTTTGTCATTCTAATTTACTCGCAATGTATTCACACGCGCACAATGTGGATATTTCAGGGGATGGTGTTCAGCCCAATTCCTTTCCAGCCGGATGATCTCCTAGCCAAGCACGAGGCTCCTGCTCCAGACGAAGCTGAGCTCGCTGAGAGTGTCCCCAGGACAAGTTTGGTCTCCACCATAGCCGAGTCCTTCAAGCAAATGCTCTTCCCTTCTTGCAATGTGAGTTTTCTGAATTTCTTGCATTCAGCTGTGTTTTATTACCGTTTCTCCGTAATGTGTCTTGTCCAAAGAAAAAAAACTCATGTTCAAAAAGAAAACCCTGCATTTCTTTGTCTGGTTATGGTCAAAAGATTCTGCCAGTATACCATATCGTCATAGTATGTTATCTCGAGAAGTAACCATGTGTCTGTATGAGAAGCAAGGGTTGTGTGGGATTTTATACTCATCAACTGCCAATGCATATAGCTACTAAAAAATACGTCGGTGTCTATGTAACTCGGCTGCATGCGAGTTGCTCCCTCGCCTGTGTCTCACTACTGAGCTTGCATAATTTGTTCTACAAGTTCCAAAAGCTACCGTCTGGTGTTGCGGTGGATTAGGATAATTCCGTTTGCCCAACAGCTTTTCCCTATTTTAGTGGCTAATTTTCCGCAGCTCATCATAAAATAATCACAGCACACCAGCACACTTATCCTTAGTAAGAGTGTTGAGTTCATCAAGATATGTTTACATTACAACTGCACCGCTGAATACAGCTTGGAAAACTTGCCATGTTATTTCATGACATGGTTTATGCTTATTATGTCTCTCTCTGTGCATGATTTTCCCGCTTTTCTAACATACTTGCTCCATTTCTTGTCTTTAGTCAGTTATCTCAGATTAAATCCTCAAGATGCTCTTTTAGAATATTCTCGAGTTGCTGCATAGTTTCTCATTATGGTTATTTAAATTCATGACAATCATACTGACAAAGGACATTTCGTTTACCAGCCAAAACTGCTAGAAGAATTTGATACCCAGAAAGTAAGCTGGAATCCACACAAACACTGTTTAGCATTTGTATCTGGGAAGGACCAGGTTACGGTCCATGACTTTGAGGATTCAGGTGAGATTTGCCTACTTGTATCAATAAATGGATGTCATTCCTGGTTTTTGTGGTGCATAACTTCGTGAGTGTCTGTTTCAGTTTTTAATGAACTAATATGTTTATTCACTTAGTTGAAGTCCATAATAACTGCTGATTTTCTAAACAGATGGTAAAGAATCGTGCATTCTAACAAGTGAACATCAAAAGGAAGTTCAAGCTATTGAATGGAGGCCAAATAGCGGGAAGATGATTGCAGTTGGCTGCAAGTATGTAGTAGTATGCATTAGTATCACCTAATAATGGAACAGTATTAAAATGCCTCCACATTCTTGGTCATTTCATAATAATATACTTTTTGACTGAGTTGGCAATTGTTAGAGTACGTAATGGGCCTAATGGGCCCGTTAGTCTTAGGGTTAATTAGAGATAAGGGTCGCTTGCTTAGGGGTCAAGCAAGCCTTGCTTGGGAGTCAAGTAAACCTCTCTATATAAAGAGAGGAGATGTATCAATCTAATCAAGCAAGAATTAAGAAGGAAATCCCTTCCCTCTTGCCCGGCCGTGGGCAAAAAGGCCCCCGGCCGGCCCTCTCCCGCCCTCCTTCTAGCAGCGCCATAACAATTTGGTATCAGCTAGCTTCGGTTCGAGCATGTCTTCACTGCTGCCCAGCCCGTCTCTCCCGCTGCCGGTCACCTCGTCGCTTCCGGCGACCACCACAATCGTCGCCCCGTTCCTGGCCGCGCCGGGATCCTCTGTCGCACCCGCCCCCGCCGTCCTCACCCCGGAGGTGTCCGGAGTGCTACGAGAACTAACCCAGGCGGTCCAGGAGATCCACCTATTCTTGGCTGGGTCCTACGGGCCGCACCCGGCTGCGCCGCCCATCGCCGCCCCCGCGCCGCTGTGGCTGCCGTGGCAGCCGCCGTACCAGGCGGCCTCTGTCGCGCTCGCCGGGCCGCTGCAGCTGCCATCCATCGCCACCACCGCCCAACCCTGGCTGCAGTGGCAGCCGCCGCTCCTGGCAGCCTCCGCCGCGCCCGGCGCTCCGTCGCAGCAGCCGCTGCCGTGGCAGCCGCCGCACCAGGTGGCCTCCGCCACGCTCGCCGGGCCGCTGCAGCTGCCATACACCGCCACCACCACCCCGCCCTGGCTGCAGTGGCAGCCGCTGCTCCTGGCGGCCTCCACCGCGCCCAGCGCTTCGCCGCAGCAGCCGCTGCCACTGCCCGGCGCGACACCGCAGCAGCGGCTGCAGCTACAGCAGCTACCGCCGGTCAGCTCCGCTGCCCAGTATGGGATGCCCTACGACGGGACTGTGACGACCTCGTTCCCATCAGCGCCGCCGCCGTCCCAGGGCGTCCACATCCAGCAGATCAAGTCCCCGCCATCGCCGTCACCGTTTCCGTCTTGGATCGCTACCCGCCACGTGTCGGCGGCGGTGAGGCTGCAGGCTGCTGCGCGCGGCCTCCTAGCGCGTCGGCGTGTGCGGGAGATGCGTGGTCTGCAGCTGCGCGCGGTTTCCCCCACGGGCGATGGGCATGCTGTTTTCCCTGCGTGCAGCGACCTCAAAGTCTGCGACATCGGCGGTTGGGGGGGCGCAACCCTCCTCGTCATTCTCCATCGCAATCCCTCCACTCTTTCCTGTGCGGTGCAGACCAACAGCCGTTCGGCAGGGAAAAGGCATGGTGTCATCGACAGCAGCGCACCGCGTAGCACCACTGCATTCCGCCACCGGCCGCCGCGAGGGCGCCTCTGCTGGTCACTCTTGCGACCACTTCCAGGTGGTCATACACATGCACTCATTTTGTCCAGGTGGTGTCCATGGGATCCAGGTGGCTGTACACGTGCACGTCCGACGTGTGGATGGTGTCCACTTTTTGTTAAGGGGTCCAAAATAAAGCGTCCCAGTCCATTTCAGGTTGAGCATAATAA